GACTAGATGGTCTTCTCGTCGGCGGGCCACCTCCATGGCGTTATGCATCGTGTCTGGCCGCTACAGTCGGACATTTGCAGCTAGATCGAATCTCAGTCCAGCTACGAAGGCCCCTACTAGCGCATCTTCAGACCAATCTCGCACGTGACAGGCTAGTCGTTCAAACTCCTTGATGTATTCATGCAAATTGCCTGTCTGTCAGATTCACGCGAGAGCCTCATTATAATTATGGTAATCGGACGTGCTAAATCGAGTAAGCAATTCTCTCTCAAAATCAGCCCATGTAATGACCTGCTGCCGCCTACGGTAGATCCGGGAAAGCCACTGCCACCATACGTTGGCCTCACCATCTAAGTAGAATGCTGCGTACCTTACTCGATCGTGGCCGTCGGTTTCATTCAGTTCGAAATATTGCGCGATACGGTTGAGGCAAGCCTCCGGATCACTACCCGTGAAGATGGACATTACGAACCTCGGCTTGTCGGGCTTAGGCCGCTCACGGTAGGTGGACGCTTGCGACCGCTGGTCGAACTCCTCCTCGTGTTCGTAACCCTCGCTTCGCCTGTCCTCGTCATGTTCGCGCGCGCGCCGTTGCTCCTGTCGATCCTCTCGCCGAGGTGATGCTGTGCGATCGGCGTGTCGGCGATGTTCGCACCTTGGGGGGTCGTCGCGATGGTGTGGGGGCTGCTGCTGGATCGCGCGCAATACTTCCTCTAACCGCTGCTCGAGTCGCGTGACGACGACGTTGGTGTTGTTTTGACTTTTGTCAAGCGATCCAAGCCTTCCTTCCATAACCTCGCTCATATTCCGCATCTGGATGTCAAGATTATCGATCTTATCCTTCATCTCCTTGTTAGCCATGGCTTTTCTTTCTTCTCTCCGCTCTTTGCTTTGTGGACTCGTGGTTGAGACGATGATGGTGATGTGAACAAAAATAGATATTTCTTTTTTTTTTTTATAATGAGGGGGACGAAAAAAAACGAAAAGAAAAATAAAGGGAATGGGGTAGGAAAAAAACACACGATC